GCGTTGCTCGCGCACCTCCTGCTATTCCCGTTCCTTGTCTTCGTCGTCCTCCTGTTCAGGTGGCCTGCGCCGTTCCGCCGGCCCCACAAGGAGTGAGTGTTTTTGAGACGATCGTGGAAGCTGTGTCTCGGGCCAGGAAGCTCGGACGCATACGAGGAGCACTTCGGGTGCTCCTCGGAGGCATCCTGGAAGGCTTTGGGGGGCATCCGGGAGGCTTTTTGGGGCGCGTGGCTTAATGGGGAGGTCAAAGATGTGGGGTCAGAAACGGTCCCCTTTCCTGCCCCTCCGGAGCCCTACGGGGCTCGTTTAGGTACCGTTTGGGTACCTTTTCGGACCACCCTCGCCACCCCCCCATTTATGATCCCCCCATTACGTGACGCCCGACTCGTGTGGGCCTCTGGGGGGCTTCTTGGGGGCGTGTTGGAAGCCTCTTGGGACCTCTTGGAGGCTCCCCGGGAGCCTCTGAGGGGCTCGAGGGGCCATCTTGGTGGGAAAGGCTCGAGATGTCAGTTCGTATTCCCCCTTCTTGGGCTTTCTTGGAGCCCTATTGGGGCTGTCTTTGGGCCCTATCGGGCCGTCTTGGGGCCTTCTTGGAGGCATCAGGGGCTGTCTTGGGACGATCCTGGGGTCCACTTGGGCCGTCATGCTCGCTGTCAAAAAGAAAATGCGAACGTACTGAACATATAGGTTTTTTTCTTGGGAATGAGATGATTGGGGCCCTCTCGGCGATCATCTGGAGGCGCGTTAGGGCTGTCCTGGGGGCCTCGTGGGCCTGCTCAAAGCCATCTTGGATCGTCGTGGGGCTACGCTGGGCCAGTGAGCCATCATGGCGATCTCTTCGACTGTCTTGGCGCTCTGTCTGGGCCCTGCTGGGCTGTCTTGGGGCTTTTTCTGGGCTCCAGAGGCCCCGGGGAAGCGCTGGCGAGCTCGTGCCCCGCCCCCCTCGGGCCCCAGAGCCCCCCTTTCTAATGCAGGCGCATCGGACCTTCCCGGGGAAGCCAGAGAGAGTTGTGCGATGGTGGACGCACTGCGCGACCACTGGCGCCTTGTCTTCGAGCGCAAGCAGGTCGACGAAGCGAAGGTCAGGCAGTACATCGCCACGCGCATGCCGCTCAGCCCCACCATCGACGCTGGCGCGCCCACCAAGGCGCAGATCCGCGGCTTCTTGCAGCGCACTGCGCCGTCCGCGCCTGGGCCCGACCTCTTACCGTGCCGCGCCTGGCTCGCCGTCGACGCGTCCTTGGACTTGCTCGAGGACCTCGCCTTGCACCTCTGCTCCAACGCTGACCTGGTCCACGATCTGAATGACTCCGACTTCGCCTTCCCCCCGAACGGCGACATCCTCACGGGCGAGCTCACGACGGACCGCTTGCCAGAGGACATTCGCCCGCTCTCGCTCAAGAACACGGACATGAAGGCCATCGCGGGCGTTGCCATTTCTCGTCGAGTCCGCTGTGGCAGAGCGGATGCATCACGCGCAGCAGGGTTTCGTCGGCGGCCGCAATTTCACCGAGCACATCGTCAACCTTGACGCGGAGACGCGCCGTGCTGGGGTGCGCCCTGACTCCGAGAGGCACAAGCCCGTCTTCACCAGCTTCGACTTCGCGGCGGCGTTCCCGTCGCTCGGACGGGGCTGGCTCCTCGCATCACTGGAGCGATTTGGCGTTCCTGAGGGCCTGTTCAGTCTCTTTCGCCAGCTGTACCACGCCCCGAACAGCTTCCTGAAGGTCGACGGTATCCGCCACTTCATGTTCCCAATCGAGTCTGGCGTGGCGCAGGGCTTCCCTGCGAGCGGCTCAGCGCGGGCGATCGCGATGGACCCGCTGGTGCGCCACCTCGCTTCGTTCGTCGAGACGGCCGATGACATGCCTGACTACGACAAGGGCTACCTCGGCGTGTGCGCGGACGACGCTGGCCTCCTCACGTTCTCGTTCGACACGCTGCGCCGCGCATCTGAGCCCTTTTGCGCTGCTGAGGAGCTCGCGCGCCTCTCGCTCAAGCCTCGTAAAAACGTCGTCGTCTCGCTTCGGACGAAGACACCGCCTGCCACCACAGCCCTAACGAAAGCCCCCTCTGGCCGACCTCTGTCGTTCTTGGGGTGGCTTTTCGGTTTCGGGGCGAGCCAAGCACCTCGGGACCTTCCTCGGACCCTCGGCCTCTTTCGCTTCATAATGGCTCGCCCCTGGGCAGACATGGTGGCAGCGTGGCAATTCTCTCCAGCTTGTTCAGAGTGGCGGTGACGCCACCGTGCGCTTGCACAGCACACCGGTCGTTTCGACGCTCAGCTATGTCTCGCAATTCTTTCCGTTTGATCTGAAGATTGCTCGCCGTGAACATTACATATTTCACAAAATTCTCAGCCTGCCGCCGAATGCGTTTCACAAAGTAGATCTCGTCGCAATGGCGGAGTGGTGCCCACCTCCTATATCACGCTCTGCTCAGATTTCTGCCGTCGCCGCCGCAATTCGTTCTGCAACCTACACGCTGCGTGGGGAATGGGAGCCATTCCTTGCGCGTCTGCGAGACACCGCGTGGGGGGAGAGCACGACTCACTCCTTCCATCGGTGGGGGGCTGGGCAGCGGTCTCCGCCCTTCTGGGAAGAGGGCACTTCCATCGTGCAATTCTACCATGCCCTGTCCTGCGGCAAGCGTGCCGCGCCGTTTTCAGCAGCTGCCGCGGCCGCAGCAAACCGCGCAGATGCCCGCGAGCTCCGAGAGGCCCCAGCCGCCGAGCCACTGCGCCGCCCTAAGGTGCAGCGCGCGGTCGCGCTCGCGCTTCAGCGTGCCTCTTTTTCGTCGCCGTTTACCGTCAGTCTCGAGAAGCGCATCGCAGCCTGGGGCATCTATCAGCCGCCCTCAGCCCCAGAGCTCGCGACGCGCTGGACCGCTCTCACCAGCGCACTCCGCAAAGTCCGCCCCAGTTGGCGCCGGGCGGTTTACAAGACGCTTGCTGGGGGATGGACGACCACCCACCGCATGCACGTCCTCCAGCAGAAGCAGTGCGTGTTCGGGTGCCAGGCGGCTCCCGACTCGTTCCCTCACTATCTCTCCTGCCCTGGCTTCCTGAGCCTCCTCTGGTCCCCTGACCCCCCCCCGCTCCGTAACACATTTACAAACTGGGGCTTGGGCCCCGCCGCAGCCTATCCGTCTGATCCTGACAGCGACCTCTCGCTGCTGGGGTCGATCCAGCGGACAGCGCTAGCCTTCAACTTTTACAACAACATGAAGCATGCCACGCCGACCCCAGCCACGATAGCTGAAGGGTTGACGGTTGAACGCTGCCAAAGCCTTGCTCTGGAAGTAGATCGGCGCCAGCGGATGGGCGCGTGCGGACAACTTGCCCTCGTCTCGCGTCTTGCCGCGCTTGCCCTTTCCTCTTCTTCGAGTACGTGCACTCCTCCTCCCCTCCTCCTCCTCCTCCTCCTCTTCCTCCTCCTCCTCCTCCTCCTCCTCCTCCTCCTCCTCCTCCTCCTCCTCCTCCTCCTCCTTCTCCTCCCATGATCATCGTGAGCTGAGCGCCGACGCGCCATGCGCCTGCGACCACTGAGACCGGCGGTGGAGCTCCCTATGGGACCACGGTCTCCGTGAGTTGTGCGCCGCAGCCAGCACGGCGGCGCCATGCGCTTCGACCATTGAGACCGTAGAGGGAGTTTCTTATGGGACCACGGTCCGAGCCTGCGCTCGCTGAGACCGTAGGTCGAGTTCCCCCGGGGGCCGCGTACCCCGAGGTGGATGTGCCGAGCTGGGCGCGGTGGCGCAATGCGCTTGCGCCAACTGGAAACGTCGGTGGAGCTCCCTGTGGGGCCGCGATCCTCTACATCCTTCTGCAACCTCTGCATCCCTGCAGAGGAATGCAGAGCAGGGGCATAAGGATGCAGTTGGCAGTGGGGAGCAGGGGCCTCGTGAGCTGTTCGCCGACATCCGTAGTTTTTGAGGCAAGCGAGAGCAGTCTCGGCACCACGGGCCTCAGCGGACTGCGGCCGGCAGCGCCGCCACCGCGGCGCCGCCACCGACACGGGGCCGCCGCCTCGCCAGCGGGGCCGCCACCGGCGGGCATGCTGCAGCCGACGCGCGGGGCCGCCGCGCCGTCTCGAGTGCGATTGCCGCTCGCCCCGCGGCAGGCGCCGGCCGCAGCGGCGGCGGCGCCCGCGCCGAGCGGGAGCGCGGCGCGCCCGCTGGCCGCAGGGCTCGCGGCCGCCGCCGCGGCGTCGGCTGACGCGGCCCGCAGGCCGAGGCGGCGACGCGGCGCCTCGCGCCTCCAGGCCTGGCGGGCCTCCTCGCCCCTCCGGACCCTGCACAAGGCCAAAGGCTACGACCCGACGCTGTCGGGGACGCTCGACGTCGGCGACGGCTTCGGGCTCTACTACCAGGAGCACGGCTGCCCAGACGGCGTGCCCGTCGTCTTCCTCCATGGGGGCCCCGGGGCGGGCGCCACCGAGCGCATGGCGACGCTGTTCGACCCAGAGAAGTACAGGATCTTCTCGGTGGATCAAAAGTGGGTTCTTGAGGGATGGGGCCCTAAGGATAGGAAGGGACCCAAGGGTGGATTCACATTGTTTGAGGCACCTCGTCCTTGGGACCCCACCCCTCAGGGCCCATCTTTGGACCACCGATCCTCCTCTTCGACCAGCGCGGTTGCGGGAAGAGCCGGCGCGAGGGGGGGCCCGAGGACCAGCTGGAGGCCAACACCACCTGGCACCACGTGGAGGACCTCGAGCGGCTGCGGGAGCACCTCGGCGTCGACCGCTGGGTGGTCTGCGGCGGCTCCTGGGGCTCCTGCCTCGCGGTGGCGTACGCGTCGCGGCACGCCGGCCGCGTGCTCGGCATGGCGCTGCGCGCCGCGTGCCTGTTCCGGGACGAGGATCAGGAGGGAAGGAAACACGCTGACACAATGAAGCGGCGACTCCCAGGCAAATCATATGGGAAAATGTGGGAAGTGGTGGGGGAGGACGAAGACCCAGGAAATATAGAAAAGATATGGAGAATCCTGTTCTTTGTGTCTGTTTATCTGTGCGTCCCTGGGCCCCGTGCAGAGGAGTTCGACTTCTTCCTGGGGCCCGGGGACGGCGCGAGGACGGCGCTCCCGGACGCGTGGGCGCGGCTGACGGGCTGGCTCGGCGAGGGCGACCGCCGGTCCGCCCACGGCATCGCCCGCGCCTTCCGCAGCGCCGCGCTGGGGGAGCTCGCGGCGCTGTCCCCCCAGGACCAGCGTGTTACGAAGCGTTCGTCCCAATCCTGGTCCACTGGAGCGGGATGCCAAAGCCGCCAATTCCAGCAGTTGCAGGCACGACGCGACAAGGGGTTGGGACGCGACGGCGAGGCAATCCAGGAGCCGAAATGTCAAATTGCTATGGAGGCACCTCTGGGCGCTTGTCTTGAGGTAGGAGGGGAAAATAGGCACGAATACACATCAGCATCGATCTCCACAAAATCTGAAGATTTTTCAGGAGGGAGAAAACACACAGACATAACGGATCGCCGATTCTCCAGAAAAGATTGGAAAAGATTGGAAGTGGGGGGGAAGACAAAGACCCAGAAAATATTGGACAATTTGGGGAATCCTGTTATCTGTGTGTGATTATTTGTGTGTGCGTGTCCCAGGGCCCCTTCAATATTGGAAACATAGGGGAAGAAGAACAGTCAGAAAGGATGCACACATATAATAGATAGTGGAACTTGTGCCTATTTATTGCGAAGGCCTTGCGGCCGGTGCCGCCGACCCTGAAGGGGGACGACGACGACGACGACGACGGCGGCGACGACGACGACGACGACGCCGACGCGGGTCAGAGTCCTCAGGGATTCTGTTTGGGGTCTCTTCGGAGCGCTCTCGGAGGCCTCTGGGGGGCAGTTTAGGGGCAGTTGTCCATCTATGGCTTCGCGTAACTCCAAATTATGGGAAACCCATCGGCCCAGAGAGTTCTTGGGGGTTTCTGGCGGCCGATGGGTTCCCATAATTCGCGCGGCGAGCGGGGTCCCGATCCCGAAGTATGGGAAACCCATCGGCCGCCAGAAAACCCTAGGGAATCTGGCGGCCGATGGGTTTCCCATACTTCGCGGCGGCGAGCAAGGTCCAGATCCCGAATTATGGGAAACCCATCGGCCGCCAGATTCCCCTAGGGAATCTGGCGGCCGATGGGTTTCCCATGGTTCGCCCAGGCCAGCGACTCCGTGGAGTTTCACATAACACCGCACGCCGCGCAATCCCGGGACATTCGCATTCGAATCCGCTCGCGCAATGGGGCCGCTGAGCGGGATCGAGATTCAGAATTTTTGGGAAACCCATCGGCCGCCAGATTCCATAGGGAATTTGGCGACCTGTGGGTTTCCTTCCACTAGTTCGCGGCGAGCGGGGTCCAGATCCCGAATTATGGGAAACCCATCGGCCGCAAGAAACCCCTAGAGAACTGGCGGCCGATGGGTTTCCCATCATTCGCGGCGGCGAGCAGGGTCCAGATTCCGAAGTATGGGAAATCCTTCGGCCAGCAGATCCTTAAAGAATCTGGCGGTCGCGGCGGCGAGCGGGGTCCAGATCCACAATTATTGGAAACCCATAGGCCGCCAGCTCACGGGGGCAATTCTGGGAAGCCCATAGGTCGCCAGTCTGGCGACCTATGGGTTTCACATAATTCGCGGCGGCGAGCGGGGTCCAGACCCCGAATGATGGGAAACCCATAGGCCGCTAGAAACCCCTAGGGCATATGGCGGCCGATGTGTTTCCCATAATTTGCGGCGACAATTCTGGGAAAACCATAGGCCGCCAGATTCCTCAGGGAATATGGCGACCTTTCTGGGTTTCCCATAACTCGCGGCGGCGAGCGGGGTCCACACCCCCTAATAATGGGAAACCCATGGGTCGCCAGAAACCTCTAGGGAATCTGGCGGCCGATGGGTTCACCATAACTCGCGGGGGCAATTCTGGGAAGCCCATAGGCTGCCAGATTCCTGAGGGAATATGGCAACCTATGGGTTTCCAATAATTCGCAGCGGCGAGCGGGGTCCAGACCCTGAATTACGGCGAACCAATAGGCCACAAGAAACACTGGGGATTATTTCGGCCGATGGGTTTCCCATAATTCGCGGTGACAATTCTGGGAAACCCATAGGCCACCAGATTCCTTAGGGAATCTGGCGACCGATGATTTCCTATAATTCGCGGCGGCGAGCGGGGTCCAGATCCCGAAGTATGGGAAACCCATGGGCCGCCAGAAACCATTTGGGTTTCTGGCGGCCGATTGGCGTCCCATAATTCGCGACGGCGAGCGGGGTCGAGATCCTGAACAATGGGAAACCCATAGGCCGCCAGAAACCCCTAGGGAATCTAGCGGCCGATGGGTGTCCCATAACTTGCGGGTACAATTCTTGGAAACCTATAGATCGCCATATTACCTAGGGGATATGGCGACATGTTGGGTTTCCCATCAGTAGCGGCGGCGAGCGGGCTCCAGATCCCGACTTATTGGAAGCCCATAGATCGCCAGAAACCTTTGGATCTGGGAATTGTCGCCGCGAGTTATGAGACACCCATATGGCCGCCATATTCCCTATGGGTTCCTTGCGGCCTATGGGTTTCACATAATTCGGGATCTGGACACCGCTCGCCGCCGCGAATCATGGGAAACCCATAGGTCGCCAGATTATTTAGGTAATCTGGCGACCTATTGGTTTCCCAGAATTGCCGCGGCGAGTTATGGGACACCTATCGACCGCCAGATTCCCTTGGGGGTTCTGGCGGCCTAAGGGTTCCCCATCATCCGGGATCTGGACACCGCTCGCCGCCGCGAATATTATGGGAAGCCAGTAGGTTGCCATATTCCGTAGGGGTTTCTGGCGGCCCATGGGTTTCTCAGAATTGTCCCCGCGAGTTATCGAAAACCATCGGCCGCCAGGAACCCATAGGGAATCTAGCGGCCGATGGGTTTCCGGTAACTCGTGGGTGGAAAACCCATAGTTCGCCCGATGTGTTTGGGAATCTGGCGACCTATTAGGTTTCCCATAGTTCGCGGCGACGAGCGGGGTCCAGATCCCGAATTATGGGAAATTCATAGGCCGCCAGAAACGATTAGGGAATCTGGCGGCCGATGGGTTTCTCACAATTCGGCGGGGACTATTCTGGGAAACCCACGGGTCGCCAGATTCCCTAAGGGGTTCTGGCGACCTATGGGTTCAGAGCTTTTTTGAGGTCGTGGGGGTCGCGTCTGGCGCCCGCGACCTCGGGTTTCCGATTATTCGCATCTGCAACGTACTAAATCATGGGAGACCCATAGACGGACAATAGCCCAATTTGGAGGGCCCTTGGGGAGAATTTTGGAGGCATCTTGGGAGCCTCTTGGGGCTTCCTGGGGGCCTCTTGGGGCATCCTGGGAGCCAGGGCGGAGGGCTCGAAATGTCCGTTTGGTTCCCCTGTGTGGGTACCCTCTTGGAGCCCTCTTGGGGGCCTCTTGGGCCGTCTTGAAGGCGTCTTGGGCCGTCTTCGGACCCTCTTTGGCACGTTTCGGGACTCTTTGGAAGGCCTCTTGGGGCGATCGTTGGAGCGAGCCTCTTGGGCCGTTTTGGAGTGTCGGTAAGCTGAAAAGGCGGGAACGCCCAAATCTTTGGAAAACTTAAGTATCATCTAGGGATTGTACATCTGGAGGCTCTCTTGGGAGTGCTCTTCGAGGCCTCTCGCTCCTGGGGCGGCTTCCAGCCCTCTTGGGCCGTCTGGATGCCCTAAAGGCGTCTTGGACCGATTGTTCGGCGATACGGGGTCCTCCGGGACCGTCTTGGGGGCCTTTTGGGGCATTCTTTGGCTCGTCTTGGGACGTTTTTGGGCCCCGGGGCCCCGGGCCTCTCCAGGGGGGGGTGGTACTCTGACGCGGGACCCCCCCCCACGGGGCCCGCCCCCTCGGCGGGGAAGGGATCAAAGGGAAAGGGCTTCCCTTCGACTCAATTGCGACGCTGCCTGATTTCGTTGTGGCTGGCGCGCTTAAGGAGGATGGCCCAGGAAAAGGGGAGGGCGGCGACGGCCCCAGGGAGAGAGATGGAGCGGCGACGTCGACGGCGACGACGACGACGACGAAGACGAGTCCAACGGAACAGCCCCTTCCACACGCCGACAGGGTCGGCGGATTGGCGCCTTCCTGGGCCCCCTTGGCAGGACGCCGTGAGCAAGTGGTCCGCCTGGGAGTTCGCGCTGATGGGTGCGCGGCCTCCCGCGCAGGTCCGGAGGGGGGAGGTGACGCTGCAGCGCGGCGAGGGCGTGGCCGAGGCTCCGCAGACGCCGTGGCCCCGCTTGGACGCCGGCAGTAGGGGAACGAAAAATGACATACAGTGGAGACCTACGCCAAGAAACGCCCTGCTCGCCTCCAGGGTGCCCTGGGCATCTTGGGTTTCGATGGTGCTGCTGTGGAAGGCGCGACGTTCCCGCACCGAAAATCCAGGGGAACGTCCTGGGGTCTCAGGGTTGGGTTTCTTGTGGAAGGTTTCTTGTGGTCGGGCCCCCACTGTAAACATAAAGATTTGTAGGTCCGCGGATTTCTTGGATCCGCGCAGGACCCCCCTCGCTGGCGCGCGGAGCGCGCCAGGGGCGGCGCCGGAGGCGCCGCCAGGGGGCCCCAGCGCATGTCCGAGGAGTCCGCGCGGACCTCCGCGTTATTATGTTTATGGCGTTGTTCTTTCCCCTAGGCAGGGTCCAGGCGCTCACGACCATCCACTACGTCGCGGAGCGGGGCTTCTTCCCCCAGGGCTTCTCGCTGCTGGACGAGGCCCAGAGGTTCGATGGTCCTCAGGACGCGTGTTGGCCCCCATGTGTGCTTGTCCCGTCCAGCTCCGCCGATAGCACACGGTTTATGCCGGCCCTCACTCCTTTCCCCGCCCGCGTCGCTTTGAAGGGCTGCAGTGGATAAGCACACGTTGGCGCTAGCACGCGTTCCGAGCGTCATCGCGAGGTTCGAGTTCCCGCTCTACATTGTGCACGGGCGCCGCGACTGCGTGTGCCCCGTGCGCAACGCCAAGGACCTGGCCGCGGCCGTGCCGAGGTCCGAGCTGCGGATCACCGCTGGCGGCCACTCCCAGTGGGACGCGGAGAACGTGGACGCGTTCGTGGACGCCACGGACCGCTTGGCCTCCGCCGTGCGGGAGCTGGCCTGAGGCTTGAGCAGCGTGGTCGACAGTCGGCGGCGAGCGAGGGGGGAAGTGATAAAGAGGAGGTCTTCTCAGAAGGCGACAGGGCTTCTCAGAAGCCCACGGACCTTCTGTGAGGTTTTCTGCGTCTTCGGGGAAGGCTTGGGAAACTTCCGAGCCTTCTGAGAATGGTGCGTCGCGTGATGGGGGGGCGATGAATGGGGGGGGGGCAGCGAGGGCTGCAGAAAAGGAGCCATTTCGGGCCCCTGAGATGGGTCCTTTGGGGCCCCTTCAGGGGGTCTTTCGGTCCCGAGAAGTGCGCCTTTCTTCCCACCCACGTATCGCCCCCCCATCGAGCGACGCCCAAGAGAAGGCCCGCCCCTTCTCACTCCCAGGGTTGAACCTAAACGGTGTTTTTCGTGTTCGTTTTGTTTTCGTTTTCCCTTGTTTTGTCTTCGATTCGCCTTTACCGCAAAACGAAATCCAAACGAAAAAGGCCCACGAAATCGCCAAAACACTTTTTAGGCCCAGTCCCTTCTCACTCCCCCCCGGGCTCGCCGCCAGCCTGAGCAGCGCGGTCGATAGACCGCTGCGGAGGCCCTACACCTGGATCCACCAGCCTCCCCGGGCAGCGCCAGCCCCTCCCGCCGTCGCTGCCCAGGGAGGGGGGCCCTCGCCGATTTTTCGGAGCGCGCTTTCGGGGCGGCCAAGACAAAGCGAACCCAGCGCGATCCCAATTGCGGTCGGACCGAGGTATAAGATCGAGGTCGGCTCGGGGAGGGTGCCCTAATGGTCTTCGTGTTTGTGGGAGGTTCTCGTGCATCCTGGGGAGGGCATCCTTGGGTGTTATGTGTGCGTTGGCTCGCGGAAGGTCTCATTTTCTTGGAGGATGTTCTTATATCGTTGGTCTGGCTGTAGGGGTCATACTTCTCTCAAGGCAAGTAGGCTACACTCCTGAGCATTGCAGAGCAGTGCGGTGCAAAGCATTGCGTTGGGTTTTGTTAGCGGGGCCCCTCAGGGGTGTGGGATCTTCCGGACCCTTCGGGGTTCTGGAGGCCTCCTGGAGGCCTGGAGAGCCGTCGGAAGGGTGTCGCTGGCTGCGCGGGGGCGTGTTGGGCCGTTCTTTACGTTTTGGGGGCTCCTTGGGGTCGTCATGGGCTGTCCTTCGGCGACTTGGGGTCTCCCCCTGGGAAGCCGGGAGGCGCGGTACCAGCCAGATGTCAGGGGATGTGTAGGACCCTCGAGTAGGAGTCCCATTTTGAAAAAAAGGGGGGATTCTGGGAATTCCCGTTTTTCTCAAATCCTCGATCTTCGAGGGTTGGAAGCGGGAAAACGTGAGAAGGCGAAAAACATTAGAACAACCATGGGACATCAACGATTTTACTCTCTTTGGGCTCTCACGGGACGGATCTCGCAGCTCTCTTGGGCTGTTCTTGGAGCCTCGTCGGGGTCTTTCTGGGGCCTCTCTGGGATCGGGGGGGTGTTGGGGGCCTCTGGGTGGTCCTGGAGGCCTTTCGGAATCTCTGGAAGCCTCCTGCTCCTGCTCTTGGCTCCATCTTGGGCCTGTTCTGGGGTGGTCTGGGGCTGTCCTGGGCGCCTCTTCGCCAGTCTTGGAGCCTTCTTGGCCCGTCTTGGGGCCGTCCTGAGGCTTTCTTGGGTGGTCTTGGGGCGGTCTTGGGAGCCTCGTCGGCGCTCTTGGACCGTTGGAAGCTGCAAAACGCGAGAAGCCACAAACATTGAACAAAAACAATGAAAATCTACGATTTTGGCATCTCCGGGTCGTCCCAGGACGCCTCTCGGACCTCTCTTGTTGGGGTCTCTTGGAGGTTACCTGGGAGCCTCGAGAGCCGTCGGAAGGCTGACTTGGGCTGCGTGGGAGCGTTTTGGACCATCCGTTCGCATTCTGGGGGCTCCTGGGAGGCGGCTCGGGCCCTCCTGGGGAGGCCCCCCGAAACGCCCGGGGGAACGGTACCGGGAGCGTTCCCAAGATGTCACGGCCCGGGGTGGTGTGGCACCCAGGGCCGGAGGGGGGCTCTATTGGGGTGCCTCTCGGGGCGTCTTCGGGGCCTCTTTGGGTGTTTTTTCTGGTCTCATGGGAGCCTCTTGGGGAGTGGGCGCTTCTTGGAGCCTCTTGGGGTCTCCTGGGGGTCTCTTGGGCCAAAAGGCGAGAATTTTCGGTTCCTCGTCCCCGTCTTGGGCGCCGCCTTGGGGCGTTCTTCGGCGGTTTGGGCGCCTCGTGGGCCGTCTTGGGGCCCTCTTGGGGGCATCCTAGACAGGCTTGGGTGCCTCTTGGGCCGTCTTGGACGCAGGGGAAGCCCAAAAGTGGAACACGCCAAAAACAGCAGCTTCCTATTGGAAATCGACGATTTGCATTCATTGGGGCTCTATTGGGGTCCCTCTTGGGAGCCTCCTCGGGGTCTCTTGGGTGCCTCTTGGGGCCTCTGGGGGGCCTCTTGGGGCCTCCTGGGGACCTCTTGGGGCCTCCTGGGAGCCTCTGGGGCCAAACGTTCGGAATTTGAATATGGTTGTGCACCTCTGGGACCCCTCTGGGGCTCGTCCTGGGGCTCCCTTGGGCTGTCTTGGAGGCCTCTCGGGCCGTCTTGGGACCCTCTTGGGGTCGTCTTGGAGCCCTCTTGGGAGCCTGTGGGGCAGTCTTGGGTGCCTTTTTCGGCCGTCTTGGACGCAGTGGACGCGCAAAAGGCAAACACGCCAAAAATATAAGTTTCCCCATCGGAAATCGACGATTGTTGCTTATTGGGCATCTCTCGGGGTGCCTCTCGGGGCGTCTTCGGAGCCTTCGGGTGCCTTCTTGGCGTCATGGGAGTCGTCTTGAAAGGCGTCTGGAGCCATCGCTGCGGCCTCCTGGGGCCTCCCTGCAGCCTCTCGGGCCCAATTGGCCCCGGGTCGCCGAACCCCTGTAAAAATTAGCCTGGCGAAGGACCCAACCATATGCAGTTGTGAATGCCGCAATTGTGCTGGGTGGTGGCGGACGCATGCGGGCGGTGCCATTGGGACCTTCGGTGGAGCTCCCTATGGGGCCACGAAACGCTGTACTGGGTGGGTGAGACGCGGTCAGCAAGGGCTGTGCTGCGTGGTGGCGGACGCATGCGAGCGGTGCCACTGGGACCTTCGGTGGAGCTCCCTATGGGGCCACGAAACGCTGTACTGGGTGGGTGAAACGCAGGCAGGGAGCAAGGGCTGTGCAGGGTGGTGGCGGACGCATGCGGGCGGTGCCGCTGGGACCTTTGGTGGAGCTCCTTATAGGGCTACGAAGCGCTGTTCTGGGTGGGCGAAGCGCAGGGAACAAGGGCTGTGCTGGGTGGTGGCGGACGCAAGCGGGCAGTGCCACTGGGACCTTTGGTGGAGCCCCCTATGGGGCCACGAAACGTGCGAGGGGTGTGCCAGAATGGGGTGTGAAACCGCATGCCAGCGCAGCCACTGGGGCCTTCGGTGGAGCTCCCTATGGGGCCACGAAACGTGTGAGGGGTGTGCCGAAATGGGGGGTGGAACCGCATGCGAGCGCAGCCACTGCGGCGTTCGGTGGAGCTCCCTATGGGGCCACGAGACGTGTGAAGGGCGTGCCGAAAAAGGGGGTGGAACCGCATGCGAGCGCAGCCACTGGGGCCTTCGGTGGAGCTCTCTATGGGGCCACGAACCGTGTGAGGGGTGTGCCGAAATGGGGGGGGAACCACATGCGAGCGCAGCCACTGGGGCGTTCGGTGGAGCTCCCCATGGAGCCACCCACGAAGCGTGTGAGGGGTGTGCCGAAATGGGGGGTGGAACCGCATGCGGGCGCAGCCACTGGGGCCTTCGGTGGAGCTCCCTATGGGGCCACGAAACGTGTGAGGGGTGTGCCAGAATGGGGGGTGGAACCGCATGCGGGCGCAGCCACTGGGGCCTTCGGTGGAGCTCCCTATGGGGCCACGAAACGTGTGAGGGGTGTGCCAGAATGGGGGGGTGGAACCGCATGCGGGCGCAGCCACTGGGGCCTTCGGTGGAGCTCCCTATGGGGCCACGAAACGTGTGAGGGGTGTGCCAGAATGGGGGTGGAACCGCATGCGGGCGCAGCCACTGGGGCCTTCGGTGGAGCTCCCTATGGGGCCACGAAACGTGTGAGGGGTGTGCCAGAATTGGGGGTGGAACCGCATGCGGGCGCAGCCGCTGGGGCCTTCGGTGGAGCTCCCTATGGGGCCACGAAACGTGTGAGGGGTGTGCCAGAATGGGGGGTGGAACCGCATGCGGGCGCAGCCACTGGGGCCTTCGGTGGAGCTCCCTATGGGGCCACGAAACGTGTGAGGGGTGTGCCAGAATGGGGGGTGGAAGCGCATGCGGGCGCAGCCACTGGGGCCTTCGGTGGAGCTCCCTATGGGGCCACGAAACGTGTGAGGGGTGTGCCAGAATGGGGGGTGGAACCGCATGCGGGCGCAGCCACTGGGGCCTTCGGTGGAGCTCCCTATGGGGCCACGAAACGTGTGAGGCGTGTGCCAGAATGGGGGGTGGAACCGCATGCGGGCGCAGCCACTGGGGCCTTCGGTGGAGCTCCCTATGGGGCCACGAAACGTGTGAGGGGTGTGCCAGAATGGGGGGTGGAACCGCATGCGGGCGCAGCCACTGGGGCCTTCGGTGGAGCTCCCTATGGGGCCACGAAACGTGTGAGGGGTGTGCCAGAATGGGTGTGGGAGGGGGAGGAGGGGGGAGGAAGGGGAGGAGGAGGAAGGAGGAGGAAGGAACGCGGGGCGACGTCTCTTCAAAACGAGGACCCAACACCACAGGATGGTTGGGAACAAAGGGAAAACTACGCCCTGTCCCCGCATTTGCGGTCGTGGTCGTGGCCCCCGGCCCCCGGACCCTGCCCCCCGTTATATGTATACGACGTGTACCTTTACGGGGCCACCTCTCCCGCGACAGGGTGTGCCGAAATGGGCGCGGTGGTGGTGTGCGTCTGCGCCCACGGAGACCGTGCGTGGAGCTCCCCCCGGGGCCGCGGTCCTCGCGATGGGGTGTGCCGACGGGGGGCGCGGCGTGCG